AGGCAGGCAGGGGTGGGGAGAGGCAGGGAGGAAGCAACTTACCCTCCCTCTTCTCCTGCCTCCTCCTGGCTGAATGAGGGCCGGAAGCAGGGTGGCCGGAAGCAGGGGGCGGGGCTTCATCATGTGCCCCGCCACCCCGTACCTCACCCGGGGGAACTGCGATCCCCCCCGAAATGACCTCTGGGCACAACATTTCCTTATGAAGGGGCACCATGACTTCCTAGGCCTGTGGTGCTTCAGAAGTTTAATGGGAAGATCAGTAGTGGTGAACAAGCACCCCCAGAGCACAATCGGCACTCCATGGCCAAGTTTCCCTTCCCTTCCCTTCAAAGTGCAACTGGAAGAAAATAGTGAGAGTGTTCTCGGACACTTTCTCAAGGAGTGACGAGCCCAACCAGCCAGGAAGGGTTGGCCAGCTGTCTGGAGAAAAAAGTCCTGGCCCTTTAACAGAGGGATAACAGTATGTTACTTACTGGGTCGTGCTATTTACCTCCCTGTCATAAAAAGCTTCAGCTGCCCATTTCCATAGATTGGGCCTGTATTCAAGGGGCAAGAGAGTTTTCTCCAGGCATGTTGGTAATCCTAATACCAAGCCAGAGTTCCCATGAGCTCTAAACTCCCTCAGTTACTTCCCAGGCATCTCTGCGATGTACAGGGTTTCCTTAGCAGACTCTGAGGGAAGAAAGGATTTTAAAATCCTGATGATGGGTGTATGCTTAGAAGGGCAGCTTAAGAAAACGTAGTGCCCAAAACTATGGAAGAAGCAGTCAGGGTCCCAGTGGGGATGCAGGCTGAGCTATGGGCCCCCAAAGGCAGACCGTTTGGGAGGAGACAAATTTACCCCCACATTTTAACTGAGTGGCATCCCAGACACACACACTCCGGCTTTCAAGGAGCACAATTTGCTGTGGGAGAAATGAGAAATGACCCAACTACAGTAGTCGCCATAAGGCCAGTGCAGTTTCAGGAGACCCAAGAGAAAAATTTCTGGTGGATCACATCCAGTGAAATACCAATGAATATCTTAAGCTGGCTGAGACCACATCAGGCCCTTGGTCCCTCCGGCCAGAGCACCTGACTGCTCCAACTGGCAAGAGGTTCTTCTCCAGGATTCATGGTCTAGAGCAGAAGGCTATGGGCTTTCCAGGGCCCTGTTTCCCTTGTGAAGGCATGTGTGCACATGTATGGCCCCAGTCATTTTAAACATCACTTCTCCCACAGCTGTGACCCAAAACCACAAGACAGATTTAGGGCACAGGATTTGCAAGGGAGGGCACCGGAGGATTTCAGCACATCTTCCTCACTCCACAGTTCTCCTCAGCAGTTCCTTCTCCTGCCCCATCCTGTGGTTGCCAAAATAAAACCTATACTATTTAATATCTGGAAATCCTGAAGCAGTGTGTGGCCCAGATTTGGCTCAGGACTGTACTGGATGGGGAGAAGTTTCAGCCTCCCTGTCCCATTTTCCTGGTATGAAACAGCCCCAGAGGCCATTATTTGTCTCACTGGAGGACTTGCATGGGTGTTCTCACATTTATCAGCTGTTTGCCACCACTACAATCGATATTTCCCTGGTTCTATAGTCCTAAAGCCTCCCCCACACAGTCCTAAGCCTCCCCCACCTTTAAAAATGAACTATGAAATTCCATACCCTGGAAACAAACAAAAAAACCCTCCGTATAGTTTGTGAGCCTTTATGATCCCCCTCTATTGAAGGCTGCCTATTTTTAGTCAAACATCACATTAGTTATCTGTAATGCATTTCCTTTTGTACAGGCTGTCAGTCTTGTTCAAGGAGGGGAGAGGAGTGGATTTTTATTTTTTTTCCAAAGCAGGCTTCTAAATGCAGCACAAAACCAAGGACTGAAAATATTCATCCAGGAGTAGGGTTATGGGTTGGGCTGCCACCTCCAGACTGGGAAACTCCTGGAGATTTGGAGGTGGAGCCTGGGGAGGACAGGGGCCACGGTGGGGCACAAGGCCACAGAGTCCACCCTCCAGAGCATCCATTTTCTCCAGGGGAACTGATCTCTGTAGTCTGGAGATGAGCTGGAATTCCAGGGGATCCCCAGGTCCCACCTGGAAGCTGGCATCCCTGTCTAGAAGAGAGAAGGCCCTTGGCAAGCAGAGTGGCAACCTCAGGGTTGTATGGGCCATTCAGGGCATGAAAATGGGTAAAAATCAGATCTGAGACATAAGGCTCAATCCACCAAGAATAAATTCTGTTTCAAACAGATCTACATGCAAAAGGGCCTCTCTGCAAAAGGGCTAGATGCCCTTGGGAAAAGAAAACCACTTTCATATGACCTGTGAGATGGACATAGTAACAGTGTCCTATCTTTTAGCATCCTTCCGTAGGCAAATGAGATATGGGAAATATTGTTTCACGACACAGCAGCAGAGTAGAAATCCAAACAAAGGAACACAAATATTAGGGATGACTTGCCCAGAGAGAAAGCGGGCACGTGCTTATGAAGATATATCTTGAACTTTACATCAAGTAAGGTTGGCAACCTTTTTTTCATGCAGGGCTCTGGCACTTTTACCGGCTGCACAGTGGACAGAAATTCAGCAAGTGAAGTTTTTCCCAGCTCAAAGATGCAGGGATGGAGAAGTTACTCTTACTGCATTTCTGTTCACCATCACAGACCAGGGAGCCTTACAGAAAGCACTGGTCCCAATTAAAAAATTGCATATTTCATGACACATTATCCAAACACAATTAAACATTAAAATATTCATTTACGTAAGAAAATAACAGCCTTGCGGCACTGGTGGATTTCACAGAAATCTGTGATCGCCATTGTTGATTGTGAGTCAGTTAGCAATGCCAGAATTCAGTTCAGGCTGCCAGGGTCCAAACTGGTACAGTAGGGCAGAATTTGGTCACGTCAGCAAATGTTGGGGTGCTACGCATGAAGAGGACAGAGCTGCCTGTGCCAAAGGAGCCAGAATCCCCCACCACTTGGAAAAGGCTCCTATCATTCAGGCTCAAAGGAAGGCAACCCCGACCCAAGTGATTAATGGGGGGGGGTCATTCAAGGAGGCGGTGTGGGAGGTCCTCCAAGGAAGTAAAGTCCACAGAGACATTCTCCTCTGTCTGCTTCACTGAAGTGAACCAGGGCTGTATAGTGCCTCCTGATCCCATTTCCATTAATTTCAGGAGGACTTGTGCAGAAAAATAATCTTGTTGGATTGTACTGGGAGAGATGGTGATGTCATTTGGATCTCTGCTTCCAGAACCAAGATTTCTTCAGCCAGTCCTGGAAATCCTCCCAAGAAATTATTCCCCTGTGCCAGTGCTCGGAAGGGGACCTGGATGAAGGAAATGTGTTCTGCCCCCTTTCAATTCTCTCCAATGGCACTTTTAGTCAAGACGAGACAGTCCAGGTCAATGCACAAATCTCTCATCTGGCAAAACATCACAATACGACACAACACACCAGGAAAGACAGAGGAAATCTGGCTAAATTAGCCATTGGAGAAGCTGAGACTCCAAACATCTTTAGGCACAGTTCTCTTTGCTGCAGCTAGGATGCAGAGACAAGTGGGTGTAAAACCAGCAGCTGTGCTTTGGAAAATGTCATGTGCAAGATACCCAAAGCCGTCCACTAGGTTAGTCAAGAGTGCCCTCTGCAGGTTCAGTTTTTCCTTCCCTGCAAAGTTGCTGGATCTGTACTCTGAGCTGGAACCAACACACACCGCAAGGGGTCTGGAGGCAAGTTCATGAAAAGCTGGAGGGTGACGTATGAAAAGGATGGGGCCAGGACTGATGTGTTGGGAGCCTGTACTACAGAATAATAAAAATGCTACTTCTTGGACGTCTGAGACTAACAACTGGGAACCTCACTCTGACGGAAGACCCTCCTGCGGTCTTGCATATATGGGAGGGAAGACCAGGGTTAATCTGATTAGAGGCGGGGATGACTAAAATCCAAAGTGGAAGGGTTCATTAACATGAACTTTGAGCCCTACAAAGACCCTGCTACACAGCTAAACAGGGCAGAAAACGAAGGAATCTGAGCCCTTCCCCAGATCTCAAAGAAACTTGGCACGTGTCCCAAAATAAGGACTGCTTTGCTGGTTCAGGCCACACTTCTGTCTAACGCAGGGCTCTGTCTCTAACGGTGGCTAGCCAGATACTTTTGGAGAAAAATTTCAGGCTTTAGGGTGATAACAGTCCCCGGTAGTTGCCTCCCACCTTCAAAGGTAGATTGCCTCCACGATCTATGTCAAACTGAAATCCAAAGTGCTTTCTTCAACCTCTCACTCCTGCTGCTGATGGGCCAAAAGATGCGGCACCTCTAACGAAGCAGGCCAATCAGTGGAATTTGAGCTCTGTTCAGGAACTTGTGGCCCTGTTACCCATCCCAACACTTTACCATACAGTGCCATATGGTATGGATAATGCCTGTAATCTGGTGAACCACCTCATAAACTCCAGTAGTAATCTACCAGTGGGCCCAAATTTACTATATCCCTTCCTGGTGCTGGTGGGGCAACATATATAAACAGCCTCACATTTGAGGTTCCCAAATAGCAGACTCACTGGCTGGGTCTTTCTCCGGCTTGGGCTCCTGCAGATTGAGTACGAGAAGTGCCCCCACGGAAACAGTTTTCAGGCTGACCACGCTCACCACCTCCTGCGGGACGGGACGGCCTGAGCCTTGCAAGCAGGGGCCCCATCCTGCGGCGTTCTCCCCAGGCTCACTCTTCAGCGCGTGGATTCGCTGGTGTTTGATCAGGTTGGCACTCTGGCCAAAGGTCTTGTCGCAGTGGGAGCACTTGAAAGGCCCCTCCCCCATGTGGATCCGCCGGTGCCTGATGAGGGTCGACCCCCGGCGGAAGGTCTTGTCACAGTGGGGACACTGGTAGGGCTTCTCCCCGTCATGCAGCCGCTGGTGGCGCATGTACTCCTGCCTGCAAGTGAAGGTGGAGTCGCACGAAGCACAGGGGTAGGGCTGCTCCCCGGTGTGGATTCTCTGGTGCCAGATAAATTCCTGCTTGTACCGAAAGCTCTTGTCGCAGCCTGGGCACTTGTAGACCTTCTCTCCGGCGTGGCTCCTCTGGTGCCAGGTGAACTCCTGCTTGAACCGGAAGCTTTTCTCGCACTCAGTGCACTTGTAAGGCCGGTCCCCGACATGGGCCCTCTGGTGCCACATGAACTCCTGCTTGAACCGGAAGCTCTTCTCGCACTCGGCACACTTGTAAGGCCGTTCCACCGAGTGGGTCTTCAGGTGCCACGTCAGCTCCTGCTTGAAACGGAAGCTCTTCTCGCAGGTGCCGCATTTGTGGGGCCACTCGGCCGTGTGGGTCCGCTGGTGCCACATGAGCTCCTGCTTGTGCCGGAAGACCTTTTTGCACTCGCCGCACTTGTAGTTCTTCTCCCCGGCGTGGGCCTTCTGGTGCCACGTGTACTCGTGCACGTACCGGAAGCTCTTGTCACACTTCCCGCACTTGTAGGGCCTGTCCTCTTTGGGGACTCTCTGGCGGGCGTTAAGCACTGAACAGTGCGTGCATGCGCAGGGCTGCTTCCCCACATGGCTTTGCTGATCCACGGTGGCAGGAGAGCTCTTCGCAGTGCCGCTCTTGCACTCGGGACACACCTGCGTCACTTCTCCGGTGGGTGCCACTGTGGGGACGCTGTGAGCAGGACGGGCAGGGAAGCACTTCTGGCACTGGGTGCAGATCAGCAGCGTCTCCTCCTGGGTCCTGGGCGGATGAACAGCGACGTGCACAGGCCAGAAGGCACCCAGAGCAGCACCAGAATGCCCGGCATGGAACTTCAAGGGTGTCGGCGGCTTGCCTGCCACAGTGCCACTCGGCCAGGGGAGTTCAGGATGCCAGGGGGGTAGTGCAGCCACCCCGGTAACGGCAGAGTGACTCAGATGGGCTCTTGGCCAGGTGGGCAGTTCGTAGACTCTTCCATTGTTCAGACTCCCCAGGGATGCCTCTGGGCGTACTCCTTCCCACGGCCCTTGCTCGAGATTTTCTTGGGGACGGGACTCCTCCTTTACCAGTAACCGGTTGCCTGTTGGAGCACAGAAGACGGGATGCAAATGTTACACATCAGCAATAGAGAACCAGGCAGATCACAACAGAGCACCTGGTCACAGATCCGTCACCTGGTGACGTGTCTAGCTGCTATCCCATGTAGAGAGGCCGTATTTTCAACAACTACCAGAGACTCAAGGCATCCAGAAAGAGCAGGGCCACTCCCAGGCTGGCACCCTCCCTTTATTTATTTATTTATTTATGCATGCATGCTTTCGGCTTGTATCCCGCTCGAACCCCCCAAGGGGTCTCTGAGCGGCTTACAGTTACTCTTTATCCCTATCTATGGCCACACATAGTCAGGGGTGGGGACTGCCCTACCAGCACCCAGTGAGGAACTTGCTGTTCTTCGGCTTATTGTCGAAGGCCTCTCGGTGCCATCCCTCCAGGCCAGCAACATCCTTCCGCTACATGGAAGGCTTCTGCTAAAGTGATTTTTTAAAAAAAACAGCCAATTTTGATGCATTTTTCCGGCTGACGATTTCTCACACTGTTTTATATTGAGAAATCTTTTGCCCTGGCGGTTTAAACCAAGCAATAGATAACTTGCTGTCAAACCCTGCCGTTTTGCATCAGTTTCCAACTCCTAGTGCGTCCTCGTGCCCCATCACCAGCCTCCTACCCTCAGATTTCTGGCTATGGGCATGGATTATTACCCTGCTGGTTCAGTTCATCTGTTTACTGTTGCTGTGCTACTTACAGGGGAAGTCCTGGCTCGGGATCTGGCAAGCCTTCGGCTCCTGGAGTCCCCCAGCGCATGGCTCCTCCCCTTGCTCAATCCGCAGGATGAGGTCGGGCTTGGGGACAGCAAGGCCTGGTTGGGAAAACAAGGAACAACCTGCCCATCATTTCCTGACCCTCACAGAGCTCGGAGCAGAGGCCAACTTTTGCACTGCCTCCTTACACCACCCGCTCCCCCCACTCCATCAACCCTATCGTTTCTCACCATTTGGAGACATGAATGTACACAGAACCAGAGGTCATTTCGGGGGGGATCATGGGGGATCGCAGTTCCCCCGGGTGAGGTACGGGGTGGCGGGGCACATGATGAAGCCCCACCCCCTGCTTCCGGCCGCCCCGCTTCCGGCCCTCATTCAGCCAGGAGGAGGCAGGAGAAGAGGGAGGGTAAGTTGCTTCCTCCCTGCCTCTCCCCACCCCTGCCTGCCTGAAGCCAGGGAGGGCCTTTGTGGGGCTTCCTTGCACTCCCGCCGGCCTTGCAGGCCCTCATGGGGCTCGGCAGTGGAGCTGCAA